TATTGCGTTCAAACATCCCGAAATGTCCTTATTTTTACATAGAAAAACAAAATAAATTTAAAAAAATAAATAATGATTAATGTAGTGTCTTTTATATATCCAAAATTGAAAAAAAAAAAAAGCGAAGCAGTCGTCGGCGGGACTCGAACGCACGCCGCCGGCGCAAAAATGTATGGACGGGAGCCTTAGTCGGCTCAGCTACGCCGCTTACTCGAAAAATATTCTAATGTTCTTCTTTACATGGGACATAGTTGCGTGACCCTAACTTTGTTTTGTAATTTCTCCTAAACGAAGGCCCATTGGCACAAACGCCTTTAGGGTTTTTATTAGCTACATGTAAGCTATCGAACGCACTATGACTCGTTGGAAAAGCGATTTCCTAATTGGCGTCATCTCCTTGTCAGTACATCACGTATAGACGCACACACACATGTGCAGCTAGGCGCGCGCGCTCATATATAAGTTAGGTTAGGTTATTAATTTGATATTTTTATTTCATTATAAATTCGTTATTAATATAAATTGTTTTACAAATGAATAATATACTCTTTTATTGAGATTATTTATAACAGACTTTTATAAACACAAGTAACCTAATTGATTGCGATTCATCGCCTCCGCGGCGTTCTCGGCCGTCGATGAGCGACGCTTTCGACTACTTGGAGTCGATGGGAGCCAGCGATAACAGAGAATCTTACGCTAGGAATCTTTATTGCTAATGGCATCCTCACCTAAAACCAATAAGCAAATGCTATGCGGCTTTGCAGCCTAGGATAACCTCAAATCTCAAACTCTTTATCAGAATATTTGTATGAAAATTTCTACGAAATATTAAGAAATATTATTTAATTTATATATAAAAATTGTTTCGCTAACTTTATTCAATATTTTATGGAATTAAAATTAAGGAAAAAAAAGGACCTTTGATATTAATTAGATCAATCAATAGATCTGCCTCGTCACTGCTCGTCACCACCTTAATGGACGGTACCTACTCGGCTACCGAAAAAAGATCGAAACAGGAATGACGTATATAGATGGCGTTGATATAAAGATAAGGTGGTGCACAATGTAGCGCATGCATGCGCTACATTGTGCACCACCTTATCTTTATATCATGGATCTAACGTGATCGATGCGACTTTCGTCGAGACCATCAAACGGTCGAGTTGATTCACGACCTTATTCTAAGACACTATTTCTTCAACCGGAAGTGACAACTTGTGAATACAAGCGAATACTTGTGAATACTCCGGCATCAAGGCAGATTACGAAGCCATTTGGACTCCTTCCTCCAACTCCCTCGCCGGAACCGGCTGCCACGCTCACGCACGATCCGAGGTATTTAGTCCCAATTTATTTCAATCGCTTGTTGCAACCCCGTAAATACCACTTTCAAGGAGATGACGCCAAGTGCAAAATTAATTTCGCAACAAAGCATAGCGCGTTTGATAGTCGTAATATAGAGTATCAAAATCCTAAAAAAGTTTGGGTAATTGGGCCTTCGTTTCCGAGATATTGTGATATAAAGTGAGAATCGTGTCGCATTAGCATACGTATTAGTATGGGAGGGAATACGCATGACATACGCGACCGTGTTCATGAGCCTCACTACACGGTCGCCTGAGTGTGTATCTTCTCTCGTGCTGATGCGTGCTGCTCGGGAATCAAAGTTTCTATCACTACTGTCGTTAAAACTGCGAAAAATGATCAGCACGACACTTTTTCCGAGAGTATCGTGCTAACTTCGAAGATTAAAAAATTATTTAAAAATAGGTAGCTGCCGGAACTTTTCTTAAGGCTCCTGGGGAGTGGCATCATCCATCTCTTTTTAATGACGTCAGAAGCGAGAAAACGCATGCTAAAAATTCCTGCAAAATACGTCGAGATAAACAGATATATCCACAAAACGACATTTGCGATCGATTAAGTACACCTCTAAAATACTCCGTACACTTTCCTTTTGTTCTAACAATCAACAGATAATTATAAAATAAATGTGACGTGCAATCGTCTTTTCTAACCTAATTTCCTCATTATCTTGTCATATTAATTTTCCGATTATCTATTGATTTTTAGAACAAAAGGAAAGTGTACGGAGTATTTTAGAGGTGTACTTAATCGATCGCAAATGTCGTTTTGTGGATATATCTGTTTATCTCGACGTATTTTGCAGGAATTTTTAGCATGCGTTTTCTTGCTTCTGACGTCATTAAAAAGAGATGGATGATGCAATCGCCTCCGCGGCGCAGTGTGCACCTTTAGGAACCTTTATTGCTAATGGCATCCTCACCTAAAACCAATAAGCAAATGCTATGCGGCTTTGCAGCCTAGGATAACCTCAAATCTCAAACTCTTTATCAGAATATTTGTATGAAAATTTCTACGAAATATTAAGAAATATTATTTAATTTATATATAAAAATTGTTTCGCTAACTTTATTCAATATTTTATGGAATTAAAATTAAGGAAAAAAAAGGACCTTTGATATTAATTAGATCGATCAATAGATCTGCCTCGTCACTGCTCGTCACCACCGCTCCCCAGGAGCCTTAAATTTGATCGTAGGCATTAGAACTCTGTTAGAATTATTGAGAACTGTCGTTCAGTGATGGAAACTTTGATTCGCGAGCAGCACGCATCAGCATGGGAGGAGATACGCATGATTTACACGACTGCGCCCGTGAGCTTCACGAAGTTTCTATCACTGAACGACAGTTCTCGATAGTTCTAACGGAGTTATAGTCCTTACAATCAAATTTAAGAAGAGTTTCGGCGGCTATCTATTTTTAAATAATTTTTTAATCTTCGAAGTCATCTTCAAGATGACGTCGTCGAAATTCGGATTAACATATTCGGGCAGCATATCAGGTTCAGAATATTCCTGCAGTCTTCGAGCGTGTGAGACAATCAATGTTTCGACGATGTCATCTTTGTGTTGAAGCAAATGGAGGAATTTTTTAACATTTATTATAAATTGATCTAATCAATTGCGCATTTTTGTTACGTTCTTTTGTTCATTGTTTTTTGAAGATTAAAATATATATGTGTAATTGAAATAATTTTTCTATTTATATGCTTGTTTTTTATTAAAATCACAATATTCCTATTTTGTACCCTGTAGTATTAAAACGAAGCGTTGTAGAGAAAAACATTATTAACAAAATATGTTTGTTTTTATGTCCTCTATTTCTTCTCAAAGTTTGTCGGTCTAATTTTTTTACACCCTGTATATATACAGTGGCCAAAGTTCCGGACCTAAATAATTTTTAAATGGTTTGAAATATAGGATTGAAATTTATAGGGATACAATGGAAACACAAAGTTTATTATTTAACCACAAAAACACCCTTCTCCACACCTCCGGCGGGCGGGAGAAGGAAGGGGCCAAAAAATCTGATCTAAATCTTAGAATGTGGGGTCGAGTGAGGGCTCGTTCGAAAGGGTTTTCTGAGATGAGAACAACGCGGGGTCGCCGAGGTCTCTACGATTTTTTTTCGCAGAGTTATGATCATTTGGACATTTCAATTGAGATTTTGCGATAGCGAGGGCCCACGGCGACAACAGAAGAAAAATAAAACTTTACGCGGGCACGCGTATTCCTAAACGTGTGTGTGTCACACAGAGATAAGGACCCCGCGGTTCATCACTTTCGCCATATTTAATGACTCCAAACCCCCTCTGTTGTGTGTGTGTGTGTGTGTGTGTGTGTGTGTGTGTGTACGCGCACCTGTCCGGCCAACTAAGGCAAGACTAGGATGGGAACACTGGTGTATGTGAAGGAATAAAAATACTAATTATTCTAGCAAATGTTCAAATTGTCCTTCGACGCTATGGGAAAAAATAGTGAACGTTTCAAATTCAATTACGCCCGAGTTTTTAACTGTTGGCTTATTTATTGGATATATTATAGTTAGTACAATTAAGAATACACAGAACGTAGGTTATATTGTAGGTATGGCTTCAACAACACGTGAACTACGACTTAAGACTGGTAACGTCTAGGTTACCACGTGCGTGACCGAGAAGTGACACCTATGTGTTTAAGCGTCACCTATGTTCTTAAAAAGAAAGCATAGAGTGTACATCAAACTCGGTAAAGAGTAACTATGGACGAAACGCATATCTCAACATTAACTAATGTTATCGATACGTTTTACGTTTGCTTGGACACTGCCAAGTTGTCGGAGGACATCAATTTGAACATTTGATAGAATAATTAGTATTTTATTCCTTCACATGTACCAGTGTTCTCATCCTAGTCTTGCCTTAGTTGGGCGGACACGCGCGCGCGCGCACACACACACACACACACACACACACACACAACAGAGAGGGTTTGGAGTTATTAAATACGGCGGAACCGCGGGGTTCTTATTTCTGTGTGACACACACACACTTAGGAACACGCGTGCCCGCGTAAAGTTTTATCTTTCTTCTGTTGTCGCCGTGGGCCCTCGCTATCGCAAAATCTCAATTGAATGCCTAATAAAAAAATACTTTAAACATGGTATCGAAGCTATTGAACATCGCTGGGAAAAGTGTATCGAGCTAAAAGGGGACTATGTTGAGAAATAAAGATATATTTTTTCAAAATTTTTGTGTTTTCTTTGTTAGGCCGGGTACTTCTGGGACACCCTCGTATGTCTGCTGCTAGCTTTGCCTAGTGACCATTGTACGACTTCCTTCTTCTTACACACATTCGTTTTGACTTTGCAGATGCAATTCCATCACATACTGCTACTGTCTCTTGTATCTGGAGCATACAGTCTCTTAGGTTATGACTGTAGCGGAAAATCTTTAAATGTCAGCACAATCTCCTTACTCGGCATAGGCGAATGCCACTTCCAAGCAGAAAAAGTCAATTCTATCTCCACATATATACAGCTTTTGCAAGTAACTGACTATCCACAAACAAAGGTTATATCGTGCCGAGTCGAAATCAACAGGCGCATCTTCTACTGTGGGATGCACTCCCACTTTTCATTGGTCCAAGGTGATCATCATAAGTACTTGGTGGATCTCGATCAAGGAGCGTGTGACAAGTTGCATCGAACCAGATCATTTTCGTACGGCACTGAAAGCCCAGTGGTCGACCTCTTTCCAAACACTACAAACTACAGATCACTGATACTTGCTGGGACTATCTCGGTAGACGGATCGTGCCATGGATCGCAGTTTTCTGACCCATACGGAACCTGGAACGACGTTGTGGTTGAAGCCTTCCTCTCCGTCATCTTCTGGGACTACTACGCCTCAACCAAGACCTCGCAGAATCTCCTCATTCTCAAATCAGGGACACACTGCCGAATATCTGATTTAACGTGCATCGATGAGGACGGAGCCAATGTTTATTGGGCACCTCTACCTTCTGATGCCTGCAGATTCCATTCTTACGACGTGCTATACCAAGGACTTGCGACCAAGATCTTCGACGCTAGTTCTCATTATCCTTTAGTTTATTCAATTACTTCACAAGAAACTACTGTAGCCCTATCCAAAACATCTGAACGCTCTCTTTGCGGATATACTTTAGTACAGACGGAACATCCTAAACTAATTATAGTAGAAACCTCTAAAGATAATTCTTTCGCCGAAAAATCCGAAATTGTAGTTGACAATCTGGACGCTTTTACTTATATAAATTCTAAGTTTGTTTACGTTGAAAAATATACCAAAACTCAGATTCAAAACCTATATGAGAACATAATTTTGCAAAAGTGTCATTTAGAACAACAAATTCTGAAAAACGCTGTCTTTATGGCCCAATCTCAACCCGACTTATTTGCGTACACTCTAATGAAGGGACCTGGTTACTTTGCCTTTATTGCTGGAGAAGTCGCTCATATAATCAAATGTGTGCCTACAGAAGTTGTTCAACGCTCAACCAAGGAATGTTTCCTCGAACTTCCTATCCTTCTCAACAACCAATCCCTTTTTCTCTCTCCCAAAACCCATGTTATTGTAAAATCCGGAACTCCTATCGAATGTAACCCTCTGTTTCCCGTGATGTATCAATTGAGGAAGGAAGAATGGGTGAACCTAACGTCTAAACAAGCTGCAGTTTCATCTCCACAATGTTTGGAGCCTATGGTAAAATTTACATGGAAGTACGCCGAGAGCGGCAACTCCGATGATCTTAACCTCATGGAACGCATGAAGCTCCTGAAAAAGCGGCTCTTAGAAGTTAAAAGTTTTCTAAGCGTCATTAAACCAGTATTGCAAGTATTCCCCAATTCTACCTTCAAAGATGTCATTTCTTCCCTCATAGATGACATTTCTTCCCTCATAGATGACATTTCTTCCCTCATAGATGACATTTCTCCCCTCATAAATGTAATATTTCTATCCTCATACATTAATATTAATCTCAATCTATTTCTTGATATTTGGAAATTGTATCGCCAGATTAATGTGCATTTAGCACATTATAATTTTTTACTGCTACTGTCTCTTGTATTTGGAGCATACAGTCTCTTAGGTTATGACGCCGAGAGCGGCAACTCCGATGATCTTAACCTCATGGAACGCATGAAGCTCCTGAAAAAGCGGCTCTTAGAAGTTAAAAGTTTTCTAAGCGTCATTAAATCAGTATTGCAAGTATTCCCCAATTCTACCTTCAAAGATGTCATTTCTTCCCTCATAGATGACATTTCTTCCCTCATAGATGACATTTCTTCCCTCATAGATGACATTTCTCCCCTCATAAATGTAATATTTCTATCCTCATACATTAATATTAATCTCAATCTATTTCTTGATATTTGGAAATTGTATCGCCAGATTAATGTGCATTTAGCACATTATAATTTTTTACTGCTACTGTCTCTTGTATTTGGAGCATACAGTCTCTTAGGTTATGACGCCGAGAGCGGCAACTCCGATGATCTTAACCTCATGGAACGCATGAAGCTCCTGAAAAAGCGGCTCTTAGAAGTTAAAAGTTTTCTAAGCGTCATTAAATCAGTATTGCAAGTATTCCCCAATTCTACCTTCAAAGATGTCATTTCTTCCCTCATAGATGACATTTCTTCCCTCATAGATGACATTTCTTCCCTCATAGATGACATTTCTCCCCTCATAAATGTAATATTTCTATCCTCATACATTAATATTAATCTCAATCTATTTCTTGATATTTGGAAATTGTATCGCCAGATTAATGTGCATTTAGCACATTATAATTTTTTACTGCTACTGTCTCTTGTATTTGGAGCATACAGTCTCTTAGGTTATGACGCCGAGAGCGGCAACTCCGATGATCTTAACCTCATGGAACGCATGAAGCTCCTGAAAAAGCGGCTCTTAGAAGTTAAAAGTTTTCTAAGCGTCATTAAATCAGTATTGCAAGTATTCCCCAATTCTACCTTCAAAGATGTCATTTCTTCCCTCATAGATGACATTTCTTCCCTCATAGATGACATTTCTCCCCTCATAAATGTAATATTTCTATCCTCATACATTAATATTAATCTCAATCTATTTCTTGATATTTGGAAATTGTATCGCCAGATTAATGTGCATTTAGCACATTATAATTTTGGCAATTAGAAGCATAAAAATTATCACAAATATTACTATTACTACAATTACCATTCATAAATATGTCGGACGCTTAGTGTTCAGATTGTTAATCTCTTGGGCGCTATCTTCTCCTATGTGAAATATCAGATAAATCTTTGTAAATCTTTGACCGAAATCTTTGTCATCAGCGAGGCTGCCGCCAACCCTATAATTGAAAGGAAAACTCCAATACTCCGTACTACCATGTCGCAATCTACTTCAATGCAGTCACTCTCACAACTCGTGCCTGAAATAACTGTCATTAGTAAATCTTTAACCAACTTAGAAAACAGAATCAGCTGCTATCTTCCACCAGAAAAAATTAACGAATAAGTCGTATAACAATGTATTTAGGATCGCGTTAAATCGCGTCTTTTTCTTAAGGAAGGAGATATTACGTACTAACTTACTAGAGAATATTGCCTACTTTCCCATATTCCCTTCCACCCTGGATGAACAGTCGGACTCATCCTAGAATAATTAGGTTCAATTCATAAATTAAACTAGTACTCGTACATTATTATAATTCTGTCGCCTGCAATAGTTGCTTGCAATTATAGTGCAACCAAACAGGGCCTTTATTAGAGTTGTAGCATCGCTTTTCTCTCGAATCTTTTTTTGTTGCCTTTACTACCAGAAACAAAAGTCTATCTAGCATGCTATGGGAAACGTCGCCTACCTTACTTTTTTTGTTCTCTACAAACGCCATAGTCAAATATCGAATAAACAATTTTGTTAACCGTTCGCGCAGTGCTGGCAATTCGCGAGATTTTCTCTGCGACAGAAGGTTTCACAATGCCAGCATTGTGTTCGCGGAAGTCTCAAGTATAGGTCGTGGCTAAATCAATCATTTCTAGATCTAATGACCTTATGTCATAGCATCGCTTATTTTGTATAATAAATTATATAATTCACCTTATTAATTAGATCTTTATATAAATATTGTATCTCTTACTTAAATATTGTATCTCTTTACTCTTACGTAGAGAGAGAGAGAGAGAGAGAGAGAGAGAGAGAGAGAGAGAGAGAGATAGAGTAAGAGAGAGAGAGAATCAGTAAGCAAATCGCGAAACCAGAAACTCCCCCCAGCGGGCGAGAATTATTAATATAACGAGTGTCAAACACGGGCGGAGTTGCATCGAAGTCTCACCAATCTGTTTCTCATATATTAAATAAGATTGCGTAAATATCTGTCAACATGTCTTGATGAATAAAACAATGTTCCGGCATATGTTCGTTATAAATATCCCATTCTTTCCTATATTCCTGTTGTACTCTGCTTAGTAACCGACCCGACCAGCCCTGGACGTAACAATATATTGCTGCTACTATTTTTTTAGAACAACAAGAAGACAGTCGGTGCCGAAAATAGCTATACAAATTTTGATAAAATTAATCATTTATTCTACTAGTTCTTTCTCCTTCTCTTTTCTTTCTATTGCAAGGTATATTGCAACACTCTTCTACTTTTCCACATTCTTTTAATACTTTATATTTATCACATTTTACTCTTTTTCCTTGTTATAATTTTTGTATTATAATAGTATATTTATTCATATTCTTGTAGTCATATGTTCAGCGCTTGAGTGGATTATATCCCAGAGCGCCTATAAACAACATTTCTTTCTTTCTTCCTCCCTCTCTTTATTGCCTCTTTTTTGTTTAAAAACTTATTTGAATGGAGGTGTTTTGGAGTTGGTTAGACACGAGAGAGAAAGAGAGAGAGAGAGAGAGAGAGAGAAAGCGAAAAAAAGAGAAAGGAAGAGAAAGAGAGAGACTGCAATGCTGCACGAGGGATGAGAAAGATCGCGCACCGGGAAAACGACATATGCTTGACGTACGATCCCGGAGGGTGGCTGGGATTCGAGCGCGGTTAACTATCCGCAGCGATGGAGGCAGCCACGTGAGTTAACTCGGCGAGACAGTGTGCGATCCGGTAACGTATGCATCAGCTTCCTGACGATGCGTTACCGCCGCTTCTTGCATCGCGCCGCGCCACGCCATGCTAACGTATATCAACGCTGCTTTCGCCCAACGGCCACGACAATGGCCGCTTCGTGGGGGCTGCCACCCTTCGACGCGAGCGAGCCGAGTTTATTATCGGTATAATTTCGGCGAGCGTACGGATAATAGCTCGACGTAGCGAAAATAGCTGCGAAAATAGATGCATCGGCGGCGCGATATTGCCGAACGATCGAATTCCTTCCCAGTTAAATGAAGACATTACTCGCTCCACATTTATTACCGTCCACCCTTCCGACTGCATTAAAATCCTTTAGCGGCGGAAATATCGCGTGAAAATTGCATGTTGTTTAAAAACACCGTGAAAAACGACTGTTCAAAACGAGCAAAATATATTATTGTTTTCGTCGACGAACAATTGCGCTGGAAACGGCGACGCCGATGTTGATTTATCGCGAATTTCGCTCAAAGATATGTTTACATCGTTCGCCGGCCTGGCGTTTTTTCGTTCCCGGCATTTTTTCCCCGCTCGTGCGCGACCGAGAATTGCACGTCACCGAGAATTATATACACCACCTTGCCGTGATCGTCGCGCCACGCGCATAGTCGAGGCCGTGTGGAAATTGCGAGCGGATACCCCATCGACGTACGGATATTGCGGTCGCCTACTTTCGCACGAAACTGCATTTTTATCAAGGTGTCCCCGGTGGCTCAAGAGCGACGCGATCGACGGACGAGTTTCGCTCGTCGCCGCGCGTCGGCGAGGACGTCGTCGTATTGTCCGCCCCGCCGGCGACGGCGGCGGCTTCCGGCTATTTCGCTGAAACGCGAAGCGCGAATGCTATCGCATTTCCGCAGGATGCAATACGGCCAGCAGAATAGCGGCGGTGTGTAGGAAGAACGGAGAATTGGTTGATTCAAAAATGGAATTAGACCTGGCGAGGCAATTCTCGTGCGGAACACGCAACGCGTGTGCCTGTATATCGATTGCACCGCTTTCGCGCGCGGGATACCGTCGAGGAACACCACTGATCTCACTGACCCGCGAGATTGCGAATTTTTTTTATCCATTCAGTTATTTTCTGTTTAACAGAGAGATGACGTGAGTAACTCGTACTTACTCGAAAGCCTTAACCCTATTCTTTGAATTTCTTTGGAGTGTTTAGAACTAGAGGTCAATAGAAAGAGAAGAAATACCACGAGAACTGTTATGAGAAGGAGAGGAGAAAACCATAATTTGTGAAAAAAAAATTTACAATATACAACCCAGATAGGAATTTAAAAAAGGGCTTGTAAAGGCCCTAGATAGTTTTTCCCCATTTCTGTTTAGGCGCTATTCAGGCAAGCCCGAATAAGCTCTGTACAGAGATGTAACGCTTTTGTAAGTCAGGGTCCGATTTGTAAATCTGACGAGGCCCTATTCTGGCACGCCTATGTAAGCCCTATCTAGACACGCCTAAGTAGAAAAGAATATTCTTTTATGTATATGAATATGAACTACTCTTTTCTAATAGAAACTATTCGTAAAGGTCACACAGCGCGCGCGCTTGCTAATTTGAAAACTTTAGATTACTTGATTCCAATGCTACATCACACTTAAAAATTCTCTCTGACACTGGTGGGACTCGAACCTGGACCTGCCTGAAACACTTCTGGATTATGAATCTGTTGCCTGACACTACGCCACTTCTTCGATATAAGCGTCTTACATTTTGTCCATATGTGTTATGATTAACATAGTAATATAATTTTTTGATAATATAACAATAAAATGATATAATTTTAATAAAAATTATATTTTTCGTACTTTTATTGTTAATTTAGCCATTAGCTAATGAGGTGAGGTCTACAAAATTCCGCACTTCCATTTCAATATTTTAAAATTTTTATAGTAAAATTTTTTTATTGTTGATTGTTATTAAATAAATAAAGTCATGAAAAACTATAAAACTTTGAGTAATTATAAAATAATTATAAAGGAGTACAATTAAAAGAAGGAAAAATCTTACCATATAAGATTTTATTAAATTAATTAAATTTATATATAAATATATAAATCAACGCTTATTATAAGCGATTTCTGAAATATTTTAGTGAAAAAGATTTTGATAAAATGTTTCACAAATATTTCTAAATTATTTCAATGTTATATTTCAATATAATTTCCAAGTTATCTTGCGGAAAGTTTGCTGTGGAACCTTATGTGGTCACACCTTATTTGGAAGACTGTATTTTTGAGAACCAAAATAAGTATTTTGGTTTTATTTAAAACTTATGTGAATTTTACTTCTGTCTAAGACTGTAAACTAAAATTCTGTAAGACTTTAAACTATTTCAAAAATTGAATAAACGAGACCCTGACTGAATTATATAAGTACATGTCTTATTATGTTGATGTCTACGGACATCCACATCTGTGTCTATTTTGGGTCTATTTACGAATTTTCCTTTAGAAATCCTTGGCCTTACGTAGGCCTAACGATGGCAGGACTTATTAAGGGCATCCCCAACAGCGCCTATTCAGGGTCTGTTTAGGAAATTCTACTCAGAATTTGCCTTTATAAGCCTTTTCTAGGCACAATAGTAGTAGACTATGTTAGGGGAATCCCAACAGTGCCTATTCAGGGCTTGTTTAGGAAATTCTACTCAGAATTTGCCTTTATAAGCCTTTTCTAGGCACAATAGTAGTAGACTATGTTAGGGGAATCCCAACAGTGCCTATTCAGGGCTTGTTTAGGAAATTCTACTCAGAATTTGCCTTTATAAGCCTTTTCTAGGCACAATAGTAGTAGACTATGTTAGGGGAATCCCAACAGTGCCTATTCAGGGCTTGTTTAGGAAATTCTACTCAGAATTTGTCTTTGTAGGTCCTTTCTAGGCGCAACAGTGGTAAGAGCATCCCCAATAGTGCCTATTCAAGGTCTGTTAAGGAAATTCTACTCAGAATTTGCTTTTGTACACCCTTTCTAGGCCCAACGATGCCAAGCCTATTTTAGAGTATGCCTATCTAGACCCTTTACGGACTTAAGACATGCCCCGATAAAATCCTACCCGGGAAGGTGTCCAGTAACTCATAGAACAGCCGCAGTGTACAAGTAGATTAGATCAAACTGAACAAAAAATGTCTCTATCATTTTGCGAACAACCATGTAAAATTTTGAATTATTGATCCAAAAAGATTCATGATTGGTCACGCACGATACAATAGATGAGTTGTGATGTTTACCGCCATTATTAGCATTATGTTTGTATTAGATGAAACTGAACAAAAAAGTCCTCTACCATTTTCCAAATGACCACGTAGATGTTTAGTTATTAATTAAAAAAGATTGGTACATTATCGTGTACAACCAAATCTCTTTAATTAATAACTAAATATGTACGCGTGGCCATTTGGAAAATGCTAGATGACTTTTTTTGTTGGATTTAACTTAATATACGAGCATACAGCGGCAGACGTCGCCATCATAGCTCATTTACCGTATAGCGCGTGATCACTCACGAAACTT